TATATATATATATATCCAACGTATTCGTGTATTTATTTATGTATTTATTTTATTTATTTATATATTTTTCTTTGTTCTCTCTCCCTATACTCTGTCCGATTAATTTAACATTGATTCTTGGTCTAACCATTCTAACCTAACTTATAACACTATATATTTGTGTAGTTGGATACCCCCTCCTCGAAACAAACATACGCTCTATCTCTGATATTGAGCACTTTATCCCATGAATATAGCATAAGTTAAAACTATATTTCTTTATATATATATATATATATATATATATATATATATATATATATGATGGCTATATTAAATATATTATACCTATCGATCTCTCCATCTTACATCTATCAATATATATATCTCAGTCTCTTCCTATCTATCTATCTATCTATCTATCTATGTCCCAGTCTGTTCATATCTATCTATTTATCTATGTATTTATATGCTAAAATTCGTCTTTGTTTCTGTGCTTCATTTTTGTAAGCTTGTCACAGCAACCTGTGTACATGAGTTCAATTCCTAGGCACTCTTGTTATAGTCCGCGTTTGTAATGTAACTTTTTCCTGTATACGTAATGGCGAATTCTTGCTTGCTAGTGTGTATATACACCAAACTGAATGTTTGTGTGTAGGTTCCATTTGTATGAGTAATTTTGTGTCCGAAAATTCTTGCTATATATATATATGTTTATCTATGGATCAATGTGCGTACAAGTATTTTCATGTTTCGTTTTTATTTTTATTTTTTAGCGCTTCCTATCGAAGCAAAAGCGTCCGCTTGTAATGGACTGAAAATGTCAAGACTTATTCTGCGACATTTCATGGTTTGATAAAGTGCTTCCGATTCTTTTAGAACGACTCTGCATAGCGATGACCTTTGTCTACCACCAGTCCTCGCAGTCTCCAACCACCTTTCGTAAAACAAAATGAAGGAAAAATTTAATGACACCCTTTATACATATATTTACTACTTAAGAGACATACCTAGAAAACATATGAACAGATCTATACACACTTATTACGCGTTTTTAGTCAAAATAAAATATTTATCCTTATTCTGTATATAATATAATATTCTGCTTTTTCTTTCTGCTTGATTAAAATTAACGACGCCTCTCCCGTATGACCAAATTACCATATAATCATATAACCATTATAACCAAGTAACTGTATAACAAAATATAACCATATAACCATTGTTGTAACCTAGAGAAGGTTACTGAATAGAACAATCAAACGAAGGTTGGTAATGAACGATAATACTTAGGACAAGAACAACTCATATAAGATTCGCCAGCGGCGCGTAGATGAAGTAGTCAACTGCTAGAGGTGAGTCAATTTAATTTCCCAATGTATCTCCAACTGCAGGATATCTACCAGCAGCTACACGCGGTCAGATGTGGCACAAGGCCGAATTTAATGTGGGGTATCCGAGCCAGTAGGCTCGGCCAAAAATTCCCCGTAGACACCGTACAAAACGGGGTCGAGTAGCTGTTTCCTAGAACGAGACTCTGCCCTTCGACATAGCCTCGTCTGGGGATCCTCTCTGCCCGGAGACAGAGAGTTTGACCAGCATAGCTGGAGTCGAATCTTCAACTACAGACCAACATACAGTATTTACTACTGTATTTATATGAATGGGGCCATACCCATTATCGTCTGTAGGTATGCTACAACATTAATGTCTAATGAACGAGTTTAAGGAGACCATTATTTTTTTTTAATTATTGCAGCCCTTAATGAATGTCCTACTTTGTATTCTTGTAACATACAAAGATAAGCTTAATAAATACCCAAGTGTTATTTACTTTTGTTTTACTGAAATGTTCACTTTTTTATTGTAGCGCTTTTGATTTAGACAAATCTTTTCTCAACTCTCCATTATGCAGTACATTAAAAGCAAGAGATTCTAAACTTATCTTATTAGCCGTAATTTAACTATAACGAAAGGTAGAAACAAAGGGCTAAGGAAACCTTATTAAAGACGCAGAAAAAGGCATGAAATAATAATACCTTGAATTTAGAGGAATAAACGTGATTGATTATTTCGACACAATAGCTGAATTTTCTGTTTAGTAATTGTCAGTATTGATCTTAAAGTAATGTCCTTGTCAAGACAAGAGCAAAAGAAAATAGGTAGTGGTGGAAAATAACTAAAAAAGGGCGCTAGTCAGCTATTTTAGAAAAGAAAAAAAATTGTTTCCAGTCATTTTAGATTAGTTTTTTGAAATATAGCAAAGTATTTATCTTATTGTAAATATGAAATTTAATCTCTCAGCTTGAAAATAAAACTAAAATAAAGGCTTCAAGAAAGACTTTTTTCATTTTTCAAAATTCATTTTAAAACTTAAGTATCGCGTTTTTTGTGGAGTAGAAAATGCTTTTTCGTAAGATGTTCTTCTTTTGATGATATCAGTATCCCTTCAAAAATATGTACAGATTTACACGAACCGTTCGTTGCAAATTAAGTCGATGATAGATACGTTTTTGGCGGGGTTATCAATTTGTAAATTCCTGAGAATGTTAGATGATTACCCTGTGAGTACAAGATGTAAATATACCTTCAAAAAGCTCAGCAAAATATTTAAAAAAAAAACCCCAAAAAACAGGAGTATTTCGTTAGAAACGTAGAAGAGGCTACAGAGCAGCTATGTAATATCAGTCCATCAGTGGATGCTGAGCAATCTCCTCACTAATAAAGAAAAGAATGAGGTAACAGAAATGCGGTTCTGCAAAAGGGTGCTGAGAATATCATTGACTGAACATATAAACAAAAACCAAGTTTTAGAGAAAATGGACACTTATACAAGATAGTGACAGTTGACATTTCTAGGGCACATAATGAGGAAAGAGTGCTTGGAGAATTTGATACTAACAGGACATATCGAAAGCAAGAGGGACAGTGGAAAACAGCGCACATAAGTTGTTTAATGTACTTGAGTAAATGGAGCCAGATGTTTTCCCGCAGTTGGCTGCCATTTCTTTCTGCGGTAGACCAGTTGCCATCCAAAGTTATAAAACCCGTCCTGTCCTGCTATTTACACATAGCTGGGGGGAGGGGTAGAAGAAGATGATTCATACCTTTCCCAAGAGAATTAGCACGTAACTGACTGTAATGGATTTGACTGGAATTCAAACTCGGCTCTCTGATTCCTCAATCCGAACTACAATCCATTACTCTACCGTGTCTTATTAAAGGAGGCACAGTAGTATTATTCAGTCAGTTATTTGCCATGCTTGATACACGCTTAGGCGATCATGTATCTTTCGATACATGACTGACGAGGCAGATTTTTTCCACGCAGTAGGTTTCCATTTCTTTCTGCCGTAAATCAGTGGCCATCCAAGGCTATAGAACCCGGCCTCTCCTGCTATTTACCCATAGTTGGAGGGAGAAAAAGAGGATTCATATCTTTCCCAAGGGTATTAGCACGTAAGTGACTGTAATCTTTCGATACATGACTGACGAGGCAGATTTTTTTCCCGCATTACGTTGCCATTTCTTTCTGCGGTGGACCAGTTGCCATCCAAAGCTATAGAACACGGTCTGTCCTGCTATTTACACATAGGGGGGGAGGGGTAGAAGAAGAGGATTCATACCTTTACAAAGCACGTAAGCGAATGCAATGGTTTCGACTGGAATTTTGAATCCGAGCCGCCATCCATTACGCCACCGTGCTTCCAATAAAGTGTAGCGAAATAATTTTTGTTTTTAAATTCAGGGAAAATGTTTCCAAGTCGGGTAAGATAAACGACATGACATTTTTTTTTTTTTTTTTTAGCTGACTTGAAAACAATTCTATTACTTTTTAAAATCATTATACTGAATTTACGTCTTACTTAAGTCTTTGATGAATTAATGCCTAATTTTCTTCCGTTGTGATACGATATTTCGATTTTCGATAAAACGAGAATGGACAGTAATGGAAAAGTAAACTTGTGCCATATGAGGAGGTTGGATCATATCGATTAGAATAATCAGAGATCATATGGATATTGGCACGAGCGAGTTTTAAGCAGCTAAAAACAAATATCTTCAATGAGAAGTTTCTGAAAAAAAAAGTTAGCGAATTGCATGATGTTAAATTCTCGCCATTGATACAAATTACGGGATTTTTTTTGTAGCGGTAGAATTTTTGATTGCAACGTATCAAAATTATTTCTACCAATAATTAATTAAATAAAATATAGTAGGACATGAAAAGATTTCAGCAGAATTATGTATGAATCGAACCGAATAGATTAATTTTAAGGAGCAGTCAGTGAGAAAAGCACTTTACATGACTAGCACAAAAATAAAAATAAAAAAAACACTTGACTGGCGGTTGTTTACTTATGCTATATACTGACATTAGATTTTGGTCTATGATATACATTTTTAACAGGATATGAAGAGGAAATAAGGATAGATAGATAAGATTTGGCACAATGCCGAAAGTATGGGGCAGCCAGTGAGGACCGAACTCACTACGAAGTCATAATTGTTCTAGCGAGACAAACTTGCTAACCATTACACCACCTAGAGATGCAAAAGCAGAAACAGATGGATAGATAGATAGATATGTACAGGCTGATATATATATATATATATATATATATATATATATATATATATATATATATATATATATATATATATATATATATATATATATATATATATATATATATATATATATATATATATATATATATATATATATATATATATATATATATATATATATATATATATATATATATATATATCCCATATATACATATCTATCTATCCATCCATATATATATATATATATATGAACAGACTGTAGATAGATGAATGATGAATAGATGAATAGATAGATAGATGAATGAATGAGATGAACAGATGAGATAGATGGATGATGAATGAATAGATACATAGATATATAGATGGATGTGAACAGATGAGATAGATGAATGATGATGTAAGGCTGAGATATATATATATATATATATATATATATATATATGAACAGAGTGAGATAGATAGATAGATAGATAGATAGATAGATAGATATGAACAGAGTGAGATAGATGGATGGATAGATACATAGATGAACAGAGTGAGATAGATAGATAGATGAATGAATGATAGATGGATAGATGGATGAGATAGATAGATAATGTACAGGCTGAGATATATATATATATATATATATGAACAGAGGTGAGATAGATAGATAGATAGATATAGATAGATAGATAGATGAATGGATATGAACAGACTGAGGATAGATAGATAGATAGATAGATAGATAGATAGATAGATAGATAGATGATAGATGAATGAGATGTACAGGCTGAGATAGATAGATAGATATATATATATAGAGTGAGATATAGATAGATAGATAGATAGATAGATAGATAGATAGATAGATATCCATTTATTGAGAAAGCGAGAGATAGAAATGTGAATTGACTGAGTTAATTAGCTACAAAAAGATTCAGATGTGAATAAACGGAGCTAGCTAGCTAGCTAGATAACGAACAGAGACAAGTAGCGTTAGATATGAACAATATAGACAGATGGATATGGGAATTTCATGTATATATATATATATATATATAGAGAGAGAGAGAGAGAGCGAGGGAGACAAAGAGATGGATGTATATACATATATAGATATTCATATATAGATACATACATAAATACATATATTTGATTTGTCTATAATCACTTACAAATGTATAGACTGTATATTTTTATTTCTCTGCTGTCTTGACCACACAAATGAAGATGGCTGAAGGCAAAAACCAAATCGCCGACATTATATTTCGATTTAAGCTCCTTCAGAGATAAGACCAAGGTTTACGAAAAAAAAACAAAAAAAAACGGAAAGAAATAATAATAATAATAATAATAATAATAATAATAATAATAATAATGGAAAGAGCATCAAAGAAGATTAAAGAAGACCGTGGTGAAGATTGTTCATTTTTTTAAGCATTTTATTTCTCCTTTTAATTTTCTTACATTACTGAAACTCTAGACGATGAGAGGAAATCCCACAAGCAAACGGAATTGAAATTTTAATAACACAAGGAGTTGAATGGAAGTAAAAAAAAAATAAATGTCTTGGGGTCGGAGGTTCAAAAGAACACTTTACTTTTTAGCTACTAGTCGAAGAAGATATTTTAGCGGCCACAACAGGGAGTGGTATTTATTTGCCATAATTAAATACAACAGAAGGTCAAACCGCTTAAACTGGGCATGCATTACGCATACAGGTGAGGATGAATAGATAGAATGAATAGATAGATAGAGAGAGAGAGAGAGAAGGGGATATAAAAATAGAGAGGGAGGGAGAGACAAATATTTTGCTTTTTTTCTCGACATTTCTCTTTGAAACGCCTCGGGCTTCAGAGATTAACTCTGAACCTATCCCTTTAAGTGCAAAAGGGAGGTGCAGCCTGATGGAGTAGTGGCGAGTCTTTGGAATTAAATATTCACTTCTTTTTGCTTCACGGCACATCGATTTAATAACAAAATAAATGTCATGGTGGTTTTCTAAGCGTAGCTTAGATGTGACACACGGCCGGAAGTATGGTGCAATCTGTGAAGATCGAACTCACTACGCTGTCGTAATTGATCAAGCGAGACAAGCTTGCTAACGATTACACAATATCAAAGTACCCAACGCGTAAATGTTATGAATTACGAAGTATGTGTGCTCGTGTATGTGTTTAAGTGTACATGTGAAGGTATGCGTATGTAGATGTGTGTACAATACAGTTCAAAAGTTTGAAGCACCCCCATAATTAGCATGGGATGAAATTGACAGAAGAATGAAAAAAAAAAAATAATGAAAAAAATCTCTTAGAGTAATTGAGAAAAAAAAAAAAACAAAATCAATTATCAAACTTATACTTTGAGAAACATTTGCAACGAATGCCAAAAATTTGTGTTGCAGTAATCAAGTCTAAAGGAGGCTATTTTGACGAGAGCAAAATTTAATCATAATTTTTTTTCTGATAAATACACTATTTTTATAGGTATGCATAATAATTTTCTCTTATTTAAAGTAAAAAAAAACAACTAGATTTGGGGCCAATTTAAAAAATTACTAGGGCTTTCCTCAAAATTTTGAACTGTAGTGTACATATTTGTATGTTCATACGAATGCGTAACTGTATGTGCTTCTGCATGTGTGAACATGTGTGAATGCACATGCATGTATATATGTGAATGTATGTATATCTGCATGCGTATGTGTGAGTATATTTCTATGAGTTTATGTGTGAATATATGCATGTGTGTGTTAGTATATATGTGTCTGTATGTATTTGTATATGTACGAATGTATACGTATGCGTATGAGTGTACATGTGGGTATGCTTTACACGTGAATGAATGCGTGTATGTGAGAATAAATATGTTTCTATATACATGAATACAAGCATACATAAGTGTACATGTGTGTATGTGTATGTGTTGAACTGTGTCTGTTTGTTTTTGATGTACTTGTGTGATTGCATGTGGGAATGTACATTTATGTGTCTACGTAAAACCATACGCGTATACGTGAATATATGTGCATATGTGTGAGTGTATCTATAAATGTATGTGTATATCTATGTTTTTTTTTTAATTTATTCGCAGCAATGTATATGTATATTTTTACTAGTTTTAATATCTAGGAAGTGTTTTAACTGTGGACGGAAAATGTGACTCCGAAATCCGAAGTAGCATTGAATTAACGATAAAATATAAAGATGCACCCAGAAGCTAAACAAAGTATCAAAAAGCAAGAAAATTCCGTTACAAAGAGTTTTGAATTAATGCGTGGTATCATTCCGCTTCTATGGTAGTGAATGCTGGAAAATCTCACTCAAAATTAACTGAAAAGTGGAGCAGGCGCTATAGCCCACAGGAATCACTTCTTCCGCTTATACCAACGTGATCATAACAGAAGACTCTTTGTGTCCGCTCATAATAATTTTAAGCGTGTCCTCAATGAGGCGAAGTTGCTGTTCGCTGATAGAATGAGACACATTATAGCATCTTACGAGTATGAATCGCGTGATTACTGGCGATTCTGGTCTCCTTGCAAATGTCATCAAAGATCGTTCTCCTGAGCTAGCTCTTGTTTTCTCTAAACTCTACAATAGATACCTTCTTCTTTCCTGCTTTCCAGTTGGTTGGAAATCTTCTTCTATAGTTCCCGTCTTTAAGAACACTGGTGAACCTCGGATAATCGTTTTCTACCTTTTTTTTTTTTTAAAAGTACTAGAGTCCCTGTGTTTACCATAATGTTTCTTGTGATTTGTAGTGAAGTAGTTTCCCGTTACCTTATCCACGGTTGTTTATGAAGACACCACCTCTAGTGTTGTGGAGTAGTTTTCTGATAGAAGCTTGTATTTCAATGATCTCGTCCTAAATTAGGTTCGACGTACAAAACGTTAGGAACTTGAAAATAAGAGTTTGACAGCAATCTAGTTGTGATGGTTGGTAATTCAATGTCGATATCGACTGACCTGCTCAACACCACTGTATTTATCTTCACCCACGGAAAAAGAATATGGCACAAGGTTTTATGTGGGTTTTCCTGAGCCCGTAGGCTCGGCCAAAAAATAGCCTCTTGAAGCCGATTAAACGGGTTCAGGCCCTGTTCATCTCCCCGGACGAAACCGCCCTTCGGCAAAGCTTCGTCTGGTTCCTCTTCACAACGCAGAGAGTTTGACAGGAGGCGTGAGTCAAAGGTTGAGTATTTATCTTCTCACCCACGGAAAAGAATATGGCACAAGGCCGGTTTTTATGGGTTTTCCGAGCCCGTAGGTCGGCCAAAATAGCCTTTTGAAGCCGATTAGACGGGTTCAGGCCCCTACCTCCCCGGACGAAACCTTGCCCTTCGGCAAAGCCTCGTCTGTTCTCTCTCGCTTACGCCGACAGGAGGCGGTGTGCAGTCAAAGACCACTAAACACCACTGAGCCGAACTGGCGACAGCTACTACTACTTATTATCTGTGGGAGAGTCCATTACAATAGAATAGGTATATGGTATGACATCTAGTTTGCTGGCCGTTGACTTAGAGAGTTCTTCTGTCCTTTGTTAGGTCTTCTTTTTCGTCCTACTGACTTGCTAACGAGCCGACTCACTCGGAACTTGGAGGAAGGTAGTCGGTTTAGTCGCCGACATTTCGACTGGAATAGTAAAAAGATGAGCCCGAAACGAGATTTGCAGGTCAAGAACACTAGAATCAAGCAGATGCGGAAGTTTGAATATCTGGGAAGTGTGACACTGGGATCCGTAGACGTATTGGGATGGCCAAAGGCGCATTCCAAAAGCTGGGCAGAGTATTGCGAGACAGGAGGAATTCTTTGGTAACAACGAAAAGAATACTGGGCTATTACGTGACATCTATCCTTCTTTACGGCAGCGAATGTTGGACGATTTCCTCAAAGATGAAAAAGAGACTCGGGTTGACGGAGATGTGGTTCTACAGAAGGATGCTAAGGATACCATGGATCGAGAGTGTGAGCAACGATGAGGTCCTGGAGAGGATGCGAACAAGGAGGAGGCTTATACTTAACATCAGGAAGAGGCAGCTGAAGTTCTTGGGACACATAATGAGGAAGGAGGGCCTGGATATTCTGATACTCACGGGTTGAACAGAGGGAAAGAGAAAACAACGCATGACATACCAAGTGGGCTTAAGCAAGTGGATGACAGAACGTGGTCTGGGGAAGGTAGCTGAAGGAAAGAACTTGTTAAGAGCTGCAAGGGATAGAAGGCGGTGGAGAGCCATGATCATCTACATCCTGAAAGGACATGGCATATAAAAAGAAACAGAAAAGAAGCTAGAGTCCATAATCGATTCTGAATTGATTAAGCATCTCATTTCGCACAGCATTCTTTCAGAAAACAATAACGTCTTCGTTTCTATTGTTCAACTGCCTATCTATTAACGGTTATTCCTGAAAGAGTATAAAGTTCTTGATAAGGACAGCGAATCTCGGGCCTCGGATTTAGATATCACGAAGGCCTTTGTGCATGCTGGTCTTCTTCAAAAGCTGAAGTGCTTTGTGTCCCCGACCTCATTTTCTTTTTTCAATCCAATCTTTGCAATTGTGTAATGAAAATCTTATTGAACTGCTACTCTTCTAGATGTTTTCCCATTAATGCGGTGACCTTCAGGGTTTTATCCTCGGTCCTATTTTGTTCATCAACAACCTTCCCAATATGATCAAATTCACAACTTGGTATCTATGCTTATGGCACAACTATTTACTCCTGTCTTACTAGTAGGCCCCGATAAGTCCTATAAAGTAAAACTGATAGCTGATCAGGAAAAGGTTTCCCTATCTCTTGGTAAATGACTTGGTAAATTTGAATACATTCAAAACGATACTGCTATCTTTTAATTAACTTAGAGAACCATTTTTACCTTCTATCAACATGGCTGATAATATCTCTAGCAG